TTCCTTACTATTGTTGATAACTATAGTCGTGCTACTTGGGTTTTTTTAATGAAGCATAAATCTGAGGCTAAACGGTATTTATTGATGTTTTTCAATTGGTTTCTACACAATTTCAAACTCCCATAAAGGTGTTTCGTACTGATAATGGTTTGGAATTTACCCATGTTGATTTGCAAAATCATTTTTTTGATTATGGTATGGAACGACAAACTAGTTGTGTTCACACTCCTCAGCAAAACGGCGTTGTAGAATGCAAACACCGTTATCTTTTGGAAGTGGCTCGAGCCCTTCGTTTTCAGGCTCATCTCCCAATTGTTTTTTGGGGTGAGTGCATCCTCGCTGCTGCATATTTGATTAACCGTATGCCTCTATCTGTGATCAATAACAAGACCCCTTATGAGCTTTTATTTGGTGCATCTCCTGAGTATACACATTTACGCACTTTTGGTTGCCTTTGTTATGCCCATGTTCCGAGCAAATCCCGAGATAAGTTTGATTCTCGTGGTAAACCTGGAATTTTTGTTGGCTATCCTCATGGTCAAAAGGGATATAGGATCTATGATTTGGACCGCAGGGTGATTTATTCTTCCCGTGATGTCAAATTCTTTGAGAACATCTTTCCCTATTCTCGAGACCCCGATACTTCTAATATTTCTACTGCTCAAGACAATGATCTTCTTGCCCACCAAGCAGCTTCCGATCCTATTCTACCTACTCAACCTTTGAATGCTCCGCAGTCATTTGTAGATGTTGACCTTCCTACCTCAGTTTCTCCAGCTTCGTCCCCGCCCGCTGCTGCTTCTGCATCTCCTCCACCAGTACGGCGCACTCGTCAACTCTCTCGCCACCTCACGGATTTTGACATCAATCTTCCGCCCTCATTTCTCCCTAACAATCCATCATCATCCTCAAGCCCTCCTTCAGATTCCTCGACGGTACATCCCCTTTCTCATACTTTATCTTATTCCCGCTTTAGTGCTAATCATACAGCTCTACTTGCAGCCATCTCTTTTGTCGATGAGCCCACTTCATTTTCTCAGGCCATTAAACACTCTCATTGGTGTGACACTATGGCCCAGGAGATCTCTGCTTTAGAGGCAAATCATACTTGGACTCTTGTTTCTCTACCCCCTGGGAAACGCACCATCGATTCTAAATGGGTATACAAGACTAAGTTCAAACCGGATGGCAGTATTGAATGTTATAAAGCCCGCCTTGTCGCTAAAGGCTATACTCAAGTTGAAGGCATCGACTTTCATGATACCTTTGCCCCTGTTGCCAAATTAGTTATTGTTCGCTGTCTTCTTGTTGTTGCCTCTGTTCGTTGTTGGGCCCTTCACCAGTTGGATGTCACCAATGCCTTTCTTCATGGCGATCTTCATGAGGAAGTCTACATGAAAATCCCTCAAGGCTTTGCTAAAAAGGGGGAGACTCGGGTTTGTCGTCTACAAAAATCCCTTTATGGTTTAAAACAAGCTTCGCGGAACTGGTACCAAAAGTTCACTCATTCTCTGCTTGAAGCGGGCTTTCGGGAGTCTACTTCTGATCCCTCGTTGTTCCTTTCTTCTACTGCGACCTCCTTCATGGCCGTTCTCATATATGTTGATGACATTATTGTGACTGGAAATGATTCACAGAAGATTCTGCAACTTAAACAACATCTTAATCGTCAGTTTCATATCAAGGATCTTGGCCCTCTCAAATATTTCCTTGGCATTGAAGTTGCTCGATCTTCTTCTGGCATCTTCCTCAGTCAGCGCAAATACACTTTGGATATTCTTGATGAATGTGGTCTTCTTGGTTGTCGGCCTTGTTCTACTCCAATAGAACATCAACACAAACTTACTCTTGATTCTGGCAATCTCTTTTCTGATCCTGGACGTTATCGTCGTCTCGTGGGTCGCTTACTCTACCTTACCATTACTCGTCCGGACATCAGTTATGCTGTGCATATTCTCACCCAGTTCATGCACCAACCACGAGTTCCGCATTATGATGCTGCTCTTCGTATTCTACATTACTTAAAGAATGCACCCGGACAAGGCATTTTACTACCTTCTGCCAACTCTCTTAAGTTGCGTGCTTATTGTGATGCTGATTGGGCTGGTTGTTCAACGACTTGTCGGTCCACTACTGGATATATTTTATTTTTGGGCTCCTCACCCATCTCCTGGTGATCCAAGAAACAATCTGTGGTCTCCCGTTCCTCCGCTGAGGCCGAATATCGGGCAATGGCTACCACTGCTAGTGAGATTGTCTGGCTCAACCATCTCCTTCAGGAACTTTGTGTTCATCAGTCGCGTCCTATTCCTCTCTTTTGTGATAATCGTGCTGCCATTCACATTGCCTCTAATCCACTTTTTCATGAACGCACTAAACACATTGAGATCGATTGTCATTTCATTCGTCAGCACATCCAGTCAAAACTCCTACTTCCTCATTCTGTTTCTTCCACTTCTCAGTTGGCTGATTTCCTCACCAAGGCATTGGGACGCCATCAGTTCCATTTGATTCTTTCCAATTTGGGCATTCTGAATCTTCATGCTCCAACTTCAGGGGGAGTATTGAGATATCTTCCTACTTTATAGAGATAGGGATATGGTTTAATCTTTTCCATATTGATCACGTTGTTATATCGGTCTATGTATGACCATCTCTTGTATCATTTTCCTAATATGAAAACATATTCTACCATATCGTTTTACAGAAAATAGAGAAGTTTTGGATTTAAGGGATCATTGTCGACACTATCCATAAATATTGAATTTGGACAAATTTTTGGTAGTCTGCATAACAGATTAAGGAGGAATATGAATTGATAGGTGAATATCTTAAGAAATCTATATATCCTATTAAAACAATAGTGCAAGAGAAAAAAAAAGAAAAAAGGCTGACGTGTCGGTTCTCATTCATTCGTTTCCCGCCCAACAAAAACTACATAGTTTTGTTCAAAAAAAAAAGTTGATTCCTACAATATTTAATTGTATTAACTTTCCTTGTCCTTAATTATAATCAATCAATTAATATTAATAGAATAATACATTAATAGTATAAATAAATAATTCTTTTATTATTTTCAAAATTTAAACGTACAAGTTGAGTTAAAGTTGAAAAACACTTTTATCATTTTTATATTTAATTTTAAAATATATTGTTGTAAATGGGTCGGACAACGCCGGGGAAGCACCTAGTTAATGTTATCTTCATTGTCTACATAATCTATAAATATTGAATTTGGACAAATTTTGGTTGAATTGATAGGTGAATATCTTAATTAATGTTATCTGTTTATTTTTCTATTTATTATTAATCATGGAGAAAAAGAAAATGAAATATCCTCTAATTGTTTTTGTAATTAATTAATTCTCGTTACGAACAAGGGGAAGACGAATTGACCACTTAGGTATTTAATAGTTTTCATCAAAACTATTATAAATCCCATCTTCTTCTTGAGCCAAGATATATAATTTTATCCAGTGTTGGACCATGAATAATCTCTCCAACTCATTTGCTTGTTGACCGTTCCACATAGCGTTATTTGACGAGGAAACTTCAACTATGTAAGAGCCAACTCACAATGATGTAGGTTTGGCATAATTCTCAATTGCCAATAATAATAATATTAGTATTATTACTATAAGATAATTATTATAGTTGTAATCCTCACTTTTAATTTTATCAACAATTTCAAATAATTTAATTACAAAAAGATTATATGTATAATAAAAATAAATAGTGAAATGAAATAGTGATCACCATAAGAAAACTACAATATAAGAAGTTTCAGGAAAAAAAAACAGAATTCAATTTTATGCGGAAAGTATTTTCCTTTTTTTGAGACAAAATAACATATTTCAAATTTCCAAAATCAGAGAGGTCAATTAATAGTAAGAAATCGGAGTTCAAAAATCCGAAAGTTCAATCTGGCTTCAGAAGCAGATACACATATGTTGGATCTCTAATTAGAATCTACCTTACTTCCGGATTTCCAAAATCCGAAATCACCTTTCTTCCGGATTTGAGAATCTGAAACATTTACTTTGGTCTACTCTATCTCCAACTGGATATATTTCCGTCCTGTCCACTCCCATGGACAAATTTTTGGTCGTCTGCCTAATGAGTAACTGATTAAGGGGGGACATCATTTGATAGGTGAATGTTTTAACAATCGTCCTCTGTTTATTATTGTATTTATTGTTAATCACAGAAAAAGAGAACATGAAATGTTCTCTAATTATTTTTCTACTTAATCCTCATCAAGGACGAAGAAAAGATGAGTTGACCTCTTAAGCATTTAATGCGTTTTATTGAAACTACACATCCCATGTTCTTCTAGAGCCTATATACATAACTTTATCCATGATGGGTCCACGAATAATCTCTCCAACTCATTTGGCTGTTGACGGTTCTACATTGCGTTATTTGATTTGGAAACTTCAACTATTTAAGAGCCTAACTCACCATGAAGCAGGTGTGGCATAATATCAATTGCCAATGGTAATAAAAATACTAAGGTAAAAATGATATTATTATCAGCACAAGATAATTATTACTGTTGTAATCCTCACTTTTACCTTTCTCAACAATACCAACAAAAATTGATTAGGAAACAATAACATACATAGTTAAACTAAATAATGAAATGAAATAATGACCAACGAAATAAAAAATGTAAATGCATCAATACCTTTATTTCATTGGTGGTTATTGAAAAATGACTTGATGTTTTAATCTTTTCATGAATCATTATGTTTTCTTTTTTACTATTTATTTTGACTGGGTCTATATTTTGCTCTTAAGTGGCTATTGAAGTGCACAAAGGCCCCCAACGGCGCGACAATTTTCCCTGTGGGGGTGGAGATTAGCGTCCATGTACTGGTCCCGTAAACACTGGCATATTGTTTTAGCTTTTCGTGCTCCCAATAAAAACAAAAACAAAATATATATATATATATATATATATACACATATATATAAATAGAAAAAAACAAAACATAAAGAGAAAGCTGAATTTCCTCCATATAATTCTCCCGAAACACTATTTGAGTTCCTCAACCCAAAGTTTACCATTACACTCAATTAATTGCAGACAACAAACCGAGGAAAGACAGCATGTATCTTTTTCACAATACAATTATAACGTTTACGATTTCATTTGTATTAGTTGCTTTTCTGGTTTGTGTATGGAGGGCTTTGGATTTCTTGTTGTTGAAGCCCAGAAAGATTGAAAAGCAACTCAGAGCACAAGGACTTGTTGGGAATCCCTATAGACCTGTCTTTGGCGACTTGAAACAATACATTAAGATGAAAAACGAAGCGAATTCGAGGCCAATGATCAATCTCTCCGACGATATTCTACCACGAGTTAGTCCTTTCTTCCTTAAAACCGTCAAGAAATATGGTACGTAATCCTCACGCTGTTAAACTTTTGCACTTATGTTTTTATGGTCTGTAATGCTTGTCCTACTTACAGTATATATGCCAATCAATGGAACTTGAGAAATCGTACAAATGATTGTTGTTAATATAATTTACAATAAAAGTGAAAATATAAACTAAATAATTATTCTGAAACCGTTAGTATTAATTTGCTATTCGTAACAAGGTTACCTATACTCAAGGGACCGATAAGTTGTAAATCTTATATAATTGATGATCTTTGCTTGAATCCACATGAAATTTCCAGGTACAAGTTCTTTTGTGTGGTTTGGTCCTCTACCTCTAGTTATCATCAAGGACCCAAAACTTATGAAGGAGATCTTGCAAAATCATAATCTCTTCCACAAGGCTCTATCCCCGGATTCACTCGACTTAATGTTGGCACAAGGCCTATTTACTGCTGAGGGAGATAGGTGGGCTAAACACAGAAAGTTGATCAATCCTGCTTTCCATCTTGAGAAGATCAAGGTTCTTCTTTTCTTCTTATTCTTTTTCTCATTTTATTTATTTAGGCACCCTTGTTAGTTGTTTGGGTAAAGTTCTCAACTTGTTCTTTATGTTGATCAAATTAACTTCTTCTTATTATTATTTACTATTACTTTTGGGCCTTGCCTGGAATTTAATTAGCAACATGACGTAAACTTAGATTTTAGGTTTATGTGGGAATCATTTTTCATATTTTAATTGATTAGATTAGAAAACAATATACGGAGTACAACTTAAGATTTATTTTTCTCATCCATTTGAAAATAAGAGTAAAATATATACTCCCTCCGTCCCATAATTATTATCCTGTTTGGATTTTCATTTTTAGTACAATTTGAATTAAAATTGAAAACTCAAACAGGACAATAATTATGGGACGGAGGGAGTACCTTATTTTAGTTCAACAAATATTACCTTTGATTTGAGACAAATTAACTGTGTGATATTGAATAGAGCAACTCGTACTATCTAAACAATCCTCAAACAATATTGCTAACAGATTTTCTCTTCTTTTACGTACAACATAAAATTCAGTAAAAGACATTGCATTTGTACACAATATCCCAACCGTGAGACTAAAACGGGGATTTTTGCATTTTCAAAATTATCAGTTTTCACCCAGTTTTGTTGATAAAGGGATTATGAGCAGATTTTAAACTGTGTAAAATGAAAACTCAACCAGCCCACATGAAAGGATAAAAAATGACATGAAAACGATATGATTCTTTTCCTAAATTTTATATCCTAGACCGTCATGATTTGTATATAATTCGGTTACTTTCTAGTTGGATGCGCAAAATATTCTTCGTGGCTGGAATATTTATTAATTACCTTAGTTCTAATTAATTTCTTCGATAATCAGCTTATGTTGCCAGCATTTCGTTTGTGTACCATGCAAATGTTGGCCCAATGGGAGAGAAGTCACTCCATTGGAGAATCTTGCAATATAGATGTTTGGCCTTTCCTTGAAACTCTGACCAGCGATGCTATTTCACGGACAGCATTTGGTAGCAATTATGAAGAAGGAAAACAGATATTTGAGCTTCAAAGAGAACAGGCAAACCATATAATGGCGGTTTTTCAATCATTAAATTTCCCAGGAATGAGGTTAGAAATCTTTGTTTTCGCATTTTCCTTGTAAATTTTTCGCACTCTCCTAGAAAAATAACACATTTTATTGAAATTTAAACTATACTACAGTGTAGAGATTTTTTGTGGGACACAAGGCTGAGTATCTTCTGTGACAATTTGTGCAGACACTGGTTAAATAATTGATTTATGGATATTAAATAAGGATAATTTTGTATTTTAAGCACATTATTTAATATTTCATTGATATTGATAAAATTTGCTAGAAAGGCATATATTTTGAATTGAGAGAGTAATGAGTACGTTATTAAAATTTTCATATAAACAATAAAAAATCTTATATTTGATTTTATTGTAAGTTTATTTTACAATGCAATATAAATTAAGTATGATCCATTACAAGAAGATAATGTAATGGAATGAAGGTGTGATACAATACATTTTCTTTCATTCCAATGTAAGAGTCCTAATAAATTGTTAAATTTTTTAGATGAACAAAATAAACTACGGGTTTTCCTTTCTTTTTTCTTGGTGGTGGAGGGAGATACTTTAATCCAAATATCAAAAAATCATGGGTTTGTACATAGTTTACGAATTTTCTTGTTTATCTAGGTTTCTTCCAACTAGGAGAAATAGAAGAATGAAAGAGATTGAACAGCTGGTTGATTTGAAAGTAAGAAATATCATCGAAAAGAGAATTAAAGGTAGAAAATTAGGAGAAGGCAACAAGGATGACTTATTGAGCATACTAGTGGAGTCTAATGCTAGAGAAATTGCACAACATGAAGGGAACCAAGACTTCGGGTTAAGCATCGAGGATGTTATACAAGAATGCAAGCTCTTCTATTTTGCCGGCCAGGAGACACTAACAACTTTGCTTACCTGGACTTTAATTCTACTTAGCAAGCATCAAGATTGGCAGACCCGTGCTAGAGATGAGGTTTTGCAAGTGTTTGGGAAGGAAGAAATCGATTTTCATGGCCTTAGTCAGCTGAAAGTGGTATGTTTATCTACTAATTAACTTGCACTTTTTAGCTTGTCACACTTGGATTTGCACACGTATTAACAAACTTTAATTAGGGTTCCCACTTATGTTGTATTGTCTTTCTTTACCTCTAATTAATACCCAACAATCGTATTGAGACTCTTGCCTATGTGACAAAAAGGGTAATTGGTGGCAGTATGATTGGGACTTCTTATATTTACCTCCTTAGAACTATATATGCTGATTCGATTTTATTTTATTTTATTTTTAAGATAGGAATTTATTTACAGAAAAAAAATCACTTCCTCTATCTTAAAACACTACAAATTTAAAGTAACTTAATGTGGACTATTTTTTTAGTTAGTGACAAACATATATTGGGTTTATGAACTGAACTTTATGAAATTTGATTTCCCTTGCCTCTGATTTAACATGTGGTGGCGCTTGGCTATTTTAATTTCGGAATTAATTTTTTTTCCCCGCAGTTGACAATGATCTTTAATGAAGTTCTAAGACTGTACACACCGGGACCAGTGATGATGAGAAGAACTCATAAAGAAGTAAAATTAGGAGAGTTCAAATTTCCAGCTGGTGTGTATTTTGCTTTGCACGTATTGATGTCGCACCGTGATTCTGAAATGTGGGGTGATGATGCAAATGAGTTCAAACCAGAGAGATTTAGGGAAGGAATCTCAAATGCAACTACAAATGATCAGGGCCAAGCCGCATTTTTACCATTTAGCTGGGGGCCTCGAATCTGCATTGGACAGAACTATGCTATGGTACAAGCAAAATTAGCTATGGCGATGATCCTGCAACGTTTCGCCTTTCAACTCTCCCCGTCTTACACTCACGCACCCCATATTGTAATGGTGATACTTAAACCCCAACACGGTGCCAACATAATTTTGCAGAGACTGTAATAAGTTATGGATGGCACGATGTATGGTGGCAAGAACTAATTAAGTTGAACTCGATCTTTTGAGAATGAACGAAAAGTTTATTTAAATTTCAGGCAACTTCAGTTACACGTTGGTTTTTTATTATTTTCCGCTCATTCAACTAATTTCAATCTTTGTTTTGTTTTATTTTTTTTTAATTTTTTTATACACTAGTTATTTTCAAGCCCCGCTACGCGAGGCCCTCTATTTGCTAAGTGTAAATTAATTTTTTTTCGTAAATTAATGCAAGTATAATAACATTCTAAATTAAATCTCTCTTTTCGTAAATTAAATTTTTCTTTCATAATCGAGATTAATGGTGAAAACTAATTACAAATGTGAAATGCAAAATGATTAACAAGGTAAATATTTTTTTCTGTTGACAGAACAATTGTGAGTGGAAAGAGTTACTTTACAGTTGAGATTGAAGAAGATGGAATGAAGAGATTTTGAACTCGAATCCAGAAAGCAAAAGGTTTTTGCATTTTCATAAACAAGTAGTATTCGGTAGTTAACAAGTAAAAAATCTTGATCCACTTAATGCTCCTATAAACTCAAGACTTCAAAGAAGATTAGATGTGAAATGACAAAAATGTCCTTAAAATCTGACGACGAACGAACCAACCAATTTATTGTTTTTTTAGGATTCCCATATGATTATATATATTAAAGGAAAGAAAGGTAATCGACACGCTAATTGATACCATCAATCATCACTTTTAACTTATTATTATTTTAGCCCTTAAAGTTCTATTTATGTGCTACTTTGTCTTTAATTTTATCGATTTTACATTTTCAAAGACGATTAATTGTGTTTAATCCCCAAAGTCCCCTTACCTATAAATAAGTCATAGGCATCTAGACATAATTTACGTATTTTTTAATATATTTTTAAATCCAAACATAACATTAATTAGTGGTGACAATTTTTATTATACAACTTTTTAAAATTTTGTTGTAATATTTTTTGCCAGATCTTACAAATATACATCTCATAAATAATATCAATACCTTTCATTTTGATCTAAAATTGATTAATTAAAAAAAATTTACGGTTTTAAGAAATATTAATAACTACATTATCTAATAAATTCTTTTGGAAAATAAATTTTCAATATTGACAAATCCGCGCAAAGCGCGGGACACATACTAGTTACATTAGTAGTGGATATACGAAGGAAGTTAATGGCTAGATTACAGAGTATCCCTACAAGTAAGGGATGAGGATCCATATATCGATCAAATTCCGTTGCTACTAGGAGTTTAGTGGGGAACGTCAATTAAATTCCGGACTCGTAGGTGCGAAATTTTTAGCATCAACAGGTGATTGTTGTTTAAATCCATGGAGGTAAAGTTATGTTGTTTTTCTTCCCAATTGTATCGATACACATCTGATCATTTTTCGGCTGATCTGTTTACACGTATCAATAGAATATTACCCAATCGTTCTGAAAAGTGATCGATCCGCAGAATACATATTTCTTTTACATTTTCTACAGGAGCAGATGTCCTCTTGGAAAATCTATTATTTTTTAATTTTTAACGTGATTCTAATTTCTAAAGCTATCCATGTGATTATACGTGTGGGAGTTTTCGCTCAAAGTAGTAAAAGTTTGAATGGATTTTAATAGAAAGATCTCGTCATATTGATTAATTTGAAATATAACACATTTTTTTTTCAATTACATATATTTAGATTAAAAGGTATAATAGTTTGAAAAATTGCGACAAAAGAAATAAAAATGGAAGGGGGTCTACCTATAAGGACCAAAACTGGAAAATCCATGGGATCCACCAATCCTATTGGTAAAGGAGGAAACACCTAAGCATAACTCGATTGGCATAATTACACTCAAAATTTAATATGTTTGCTGATTTCTTTCCAGAGTTATGTTTTAAATCTTAGGCTCTGTTTTGTTGCATTGAATTCGGACCAAGATTTGGAATTAGAGCTCTTTAATTCCAATTCTTGTGTTCGGTTGACAAAAATTGAAGTGGAAGAATTGGAATTATAATACTATTTTGGGTTCTTTGTTTTCAATTCTTTTGTAGTGGTAAATAATTAGAATCCAAATTCAAGGGAGTAAAAAAATCTCGCGGGTCTAAACCAGATCGTTTTCGGGTTATAACATAAACGGGTCGACGTTTCCGAGTTATAACATAAACAGATCGTTTCCGGGTTATAACATAACCTGGTCGCGGGTCCTTTTTTTTTTTTTTTTTGGCTTTCAACCCTTGCCCCGGTTGTTTTTCTTTTCTTTTTTTTTGTTTTTCTTTTTTTCGGCTATTTGATAATCATAAACGAAATCAATCTAAAATTAATATTTAATCTTTTTGACAAAAAATATCAATAGTATAACCGTCCCAAAATAATTTATAAATAAATATTTTAGTTTTGGGTTTAAAAATTTTTATTATATTCTCACACAGTAAACACCATAAAATTTTCAAAAATCTTTTATAAATTTTCCATATGTACACCTATATATATATATTATAATACCTGGCATTTTTTCACCAAAAAAAATGTAAGTTAAATTTTAAGTATATATTTTTTCATATATAACTATATACTAAAACTAAAAAATTTTAAGCAAATTTCATAAAATAATTTCAATCTAGATATAAATAAATATTAATATTCATAAAATGAATTTATATCATACACAAAACATTTTACTAAGTATAGGGGAAAAAATCAATAAATCAAAAATTAAAATTTTTTGAAAAGTAATAAAAGAAAGGGAAACAAGTTACAAGTTACTTGTTTGTGTATTAAGTGAGAATTCTACGTATCTTAGTAATAATTCTTACATAATAATATTTCTTTTTGTTTCCTACAAAAATATGCGTACATAATAAATCACATAATAATATAGCAAATTAAATGAAAAAATATTTTTAAAAAAAAAAAATTAATTAAAGGACAACAAAGTAATCTAATATACATGTACACAATAAATTTTTCCTTTCTTTTTCTTTTGTTTTATACATATCCATAATAGATTATTTTAACATAGGAAATTAAGTAATTTTAAATTTTTTTTGACATGAAGTATAAATTGTATTATTTTTTTGATAAAAAGAGATATTTCATTACGACTGCTGGAAATCGTTTAGCTGCGATTGACTGATAAATACTGGCAAACTAAGCCAGTTGGTACATTCATCGGAATAATTCTTCGCTAAAGATGCTAGGTCATGTGCTATGCTATTATTACAGCGACAGATCCAAAAAATCCCAAGAGGATGAACCTTTGTGAGCAATGTACGAATCGATTCCATAATCGGATTCAAGTCGACGCCATGAGATACCACAATTTGAGCTTCGACAATGGTATTCAGAGCATCACCACAGATTGAGAATTGCCCTAGATTATACTCCGTCGCGAATAGCAAAGCTTCCTTCAATGCCAAAGCTTCGGCATCTTCAGGGTCGGATATTCCTTTGAATTTTTTTGATCTCCCTTTGACAAAATGTCCATCCAAATCTGCGTACCAAATTCCAACTCCTGCACAGCGGTGGAGGCGAGAGATTCCCCCATCGAAATAAATTTTGATTCCGTCCGGAGGAAGTATAAATTGTATTATAGTTATATAATAACAAACTAATTTCAATTATAAAGTATCCAAATTTTGAAACATCCAAACGCAAGAATTGATATTAAAACCTTAATTCTAGTAAATTCTTAAGATTTTTCAAACAAAAGAATTGAGATTGAATTACAATCCCAATATATCATTTTCAATTTTTTTGGATTGTAATTCTAATTCAATTCTAATTCATTCCAACCAAACGGAACCTTAAAGTAATTTAAACTTAGGCGTGCCAATTAAAGAATAGAGCATCCTTTCAGCGTTTCCTTTTTCTTTATTTTTTTTTTTGGACTCGGTCGCCGTTGCCCTCCAGGCTGATCATCACAGCTATTTATAAACATTTATATTTGATTTGAACAATCAAATCACATGGCTCTCATCGATTATATCAATATTGACTTCATAAACAACTATATCATAATCTCGAATGTAATAATTAGTAATATAGTTAAGTCAGCTATGTTCCTGATCAACCAATTAATAAGCTACCACGTCCCAATCACGTTACCAGTGTCCACTTCAACCTTATCGATGTCTGAAATGCTAAAGGTCAATTAATTCCGATGAAAACGTCCAGTTGTCATTTCAATACGTTGATGAAAATAATAGAGCGTTTACTTTTCATTTCAGTCCTTATTAAGCTATTCATATATCAAAGATGGAATTCTGCCGTACTAGTCTATAGAGTAATCTACTCAAAAGATCCCTTACATTTACCCAAAAAATTAATTTGGTCCTTCACATTAAAAACTCACTCATATGGTCCTTTACATTTTTCATTTCAACTAATTTGGTCCTTTTTACCTTTTTTGGCCCTTTACATTTGTGAGTTCTCGGGCTGATCAATTCTTGGTCAAGTCAATAGGGGCATTTTTGGTAACTCATAATTATCATATTTTTAAAATATATTAAAAACCAAAAATATATTAAATAATAATAAATATATTATATTAATTTATAATTTATTATTCAAAATTCAAAATTCAAAATTCAAATATAATACTATTAAAAAATTTAAAAATCCAAAATCTGAATTTTTAGTTTATACCCGTGGGCCCCATTCGAAATTTTTTCCCCGATTTGACTTTTTATCTTGTGGGGCCCACACCAATTTTTTCTTTACCTTTTATTCAGTATTTTATTCAGCATTTTTTTTTTCTTCTCTTCCCGCTGAGACACTTCCCCATTCCCCTTGGTCATCGTAGAAAAACCATGAACCCCAATTCTCAAATTGGGCGGCACAGTCGGCGTAATCGAAGCAACAGTCTACAGGAGACATCATACCCCCTACATGTAGATGCGGCCTTCCATGTGCGGTTATAACATCGTGGACTGACGATAACCCAGCAAGAAGATTTGCTCGTTGCGCGAACTGGACCGATGAGAGTCCTTCAACCAGATTCGGTCACAGGTGGAAAACTAAGGTATGTTGATTTGGCATTGGTTATTTTTTATTTAGTTTTTATTTAATTTATTTTTTATGGTGAATTGCTGAACGGTCAGGCCAAGTATTGTCCGTTTTGGGTCTGGGTTGATCCGGAGACATGTAAAAGAGGAAAAGACGTTATACCAAGACTTCTGTGGAGATTTGATCGACAGAATGAAGAATTGAGTTTTTTGGACCAAAAACTGTCGGATGTAGAAGAGCAGTTAACTAATGAGATGGCAGAATTGTTCAGGTGCAAGTGTAGGGTTGCTTCATTAGAGAGTGAGAACAAGGTATTACAGCTTGAATTGGTCAAGCTGCAAGCAAATAAGAAGAATCTGAGGATGATTTATGCTTTTGTCGTGGTGTGGATATTGTGGAAAGTGGTGTGTTGTTTTGCTGTCAAGGAGAAGAACGAATTAAGCCACAACTATATGGCAATTGGTAGGAGTTAGAAAGAGGACTAGAGTGTTTAGTTAATGTTTTAGCATCTTTGTGTTTGGTTAATGCTTTAGTTTCTCTGTAAAACGTAGCTTACATGGTGTTGTTTAATGCTTTAGTGTTGTTGTAAGACTTAGCTAATGTGTTGTAATATATGTATCCCCTTTTGATGTGTTCTTCATTGTTTTTTTTTTTTTCAAAATTGAGATCAATCTTATGGCAGCCTGAATGTAATGGTAAAGGTTACAGTCAAATGTAAAGGACAAAAAAAATTATACAGAAAATGTAAAGGACCTAAAAAGTTGCACCGAAAATGTAAAGCAGAAACTAATGCCGTTAAGGGAAATAGAGTAAACTAGGAGCAATTACATGGAAAAACAATGAAGTGAATGCTAAAACTTGCAACTCACTTGGCATCACTAGTACCATAGAGAAAATTGGCCTTACAAATTTCACAATCTAATTCATCACAAGAAAAAACATCATCCTCTTCATCATCAACTAATTCGACGTTTGGATCAAGCCTAGAGTGCTTAGCTAGCCAACATTCATCACAATAGCAACTGAGATCTACGTCACCATCGATCTCATCATCATTAATCATAGAATTATTGTTCCGAGCAAACCAGTATTCATCCGCTTTATTCAAGGCATAAAGGACGATTAATCTAGAGTCATCAACTAGAGCATCAGAGCGGAGAATGGAAACTCTCCTATCACCGACAATCGCCTCAACGCCATTCTGGTCACTTATAGAGTAGAAAGTGACAAATCTGGCAATCCCAATCTGCTTGGCCATCTCATCTAAATCTGCATCTGAAACAGTTTCAAAGTCCTCATGATTGAAAATTCTGAAATCACCTCCATCATAAAACGGGAATGGCTTTTCCTAAAGACGGCCACTATAGTGACTTTTAATGCTCCCAAAACTGCTACTGCTAACTGAACAAAGAAAACGGTCAGATGAGAACATTTTGAAGTCTTCCATATTGTGGAGCAACCAAAATTTTAAGTTAAAAAGAAGAAAGAAAAAGGGAACTTACAATATGCAGGATCAAAGTCATCGTTGAGGTCTTTGGGACGTGAAGTGTACATCCCATCAATGAACTTCACCATTGTTCAACAACAATCTCTGGTGGATTCAGTCACCATGTATGTCTTTTTATATTCCCTCTAAAGGTTACAAGTGTTTTATTTTCCCTCCAATTCTATTGGAGATATATGGTTGTGTTTTACTTTCCCTCCAATTCTATTAGAAGATGGATGGTTGTGTTTTAATTGTGTTTTAATTTCCCTCCAATTCTATTAGAAGATAGATGGTTGTGTTTTATTTTCCCTCCAATTCTATTAGAGATAGATGGTTTGAGTTTTACTTTTCCCTCCAATACTACTGGTATAAGTTTTAGTTTTCCTCCATTTGGCAGCATATGTAAATGATTAAAATAGTTAACAGAAAAGTAAAGGGCCAGGAATTAATGCAACCATAAGTACGCCATTCAACATGCAAAACCATACCAGATTAGTCTAAGGCCTGTTACAAAAGTGAATGTGCCATATGATTGACATACGCCAAAAGTACGCCATTCAACATGCAAAACCATACTAGATTAGTCTAAGGCCTATTACAAAAGTGAATATGCCATATGATTGATATACACCATTCAAAATAGGAGTCTAGATCTAACATCACATCGAAACCCTAACAGCCAATCGCAAAAGTTCCTAACAACACAACTACAACCAAACAGGCCTATCCGTTGGTTGCACCTTCAATTGCATCAGTGTACATTCCAGCAACAGAGCTTGTACAAGTTGAACGATAATGACCAGCTCCCCCACAGTTCAGGTCCATTGGTGGGATAAATGACATACTTGTATGCATTTTCATAATTTTCCTTGGAATAATACTCATGCACAAAATCATCAACTTCCTCACCTATCAAGGCAATTGATGCAACAGCATGGGGACAAGGCAGGCCAGTCAACATCCAACGCCTGCATTCACATGTCATGTCCTTTAAATTAACGACATATTGTTCATTCCATTTTGTGTTAACTTGAAAAGACAAATCTCCAGAGTGTCTAGCCTAGCAGTGTCGTGCTTTTTCCTTAAGTTTCTCAATTTTCTTCCTCACCTTTGGGCCAAAACGATCATTAAGACGCGATATCATTTCTCTTTTCTTCTGGTATTTATCTGAAAGTAACATCCTCACACATTCAAGCAAGGTGTAAAAAGGTTTGGATCTCGCCGGAAGCAAAACTCTGTTAAAACTCTCACAAATATTGTTAACCAAAATGTCACACTTTCCCAAAAAGTTAAAGAATGCCCTACTCCAGTTTCGTGCATCTGTGTGACCTGCCAGCCATGCAACAGCCTCAGGCTCGAGGAGTCTCAATTCTTCGATAATTGCTTTGTACCTTTCAGGATATGTTGCCCTAGCTGCCTCCCATATTTTATCTTTCAGAATAGGGCTTGGGAAAGTTGTTTTGAAGTTTTTGTGCATATGCCAAACACAAGTCCTGTATTCAGCATACCTAACACAAGTGTGTTAGGCATTAATCAGTCCCTGCATTAATGTGAAGGACTACACAGTTCATACCAAAAAGTAAAGGACTAAAATAGTACACATAAGAAAAAGTATGCCTATAAAAGTTCACTGGCTAGAAATTCATACCTTCTGCTTGTCTGTTATAAAGGTCCACTGGCTAGAATCCTTGATGCTCAGGTCAATTTGAACGTTTCTTACAAACCAAGTCCATGTAGTAGTGTTTTCGCTCAAGACGACAGCAAAAGCAATTGGATATATTTGGTCATTTGGATCAAGTCCAATTGTTGTGAGCAAAATACCCTTCACAGGCCCCTTTGGGTGGCATCCATCAAGCCCAACAATACATTGACATGATTCCTGGAAACGCCTCTTGCAAGCTTCGTAGAAAATGTATATCCCATTAAACTTTTCAGTGCCATCTTCTTGCTCCATCGTGTCAAGATCCACAATTGACCCTGGGTTGGTTCTCAACAATTCCGCCTTATAATCATGTATTCTCTTGTACTGATCCATGATATCACCTTCAATCAATTCAATGGCCTGCAGCTTTGTTTTCTCAACCAGACACTGTGACGGAGTGAATTGTAATACACCGTGAATCTTTTCTTGGAGCTGGGCAATTGTCATTGTGGGAATAATACGAATGTCCTCCTTGAACACTTTTGCTAGGTACTTGGATGAAGCACAATTCTGGTTACTGGTTGCACCACCACATCTGTGCTTCTTCATCAACTTTGTCACCTGCCATTCCTAACGCTTTGGTCTCCAAGTGATTCTGACAATCCACGGACAATTGCCATTGCCACCTTTACAAATTGCTTTGCACCTTTCGCGATCATTTTTCTTGAAACGTATCTTCTTCCCATCTTTGACTCCATGATGCTTAGCCACTTCTTAGAACTCTTATTTTGAACAAAAGCATAACCCGATTTCCCATTTTGGGTTGTCATAATCTGTTGCTGCATTGTACCTTCTGAACTTTGGTCTTGCAGCCCGAGCACCACCATCTGTTTCAGATCTTGCATCATCACTTCCAAACTCCTCACTCTCATATCCATCGTTAGATTCTTCTCCACTACCATCACTTTCTCCTTCATTAGGCTGTCCATGAATTTTTTCCTCTAAATTTCCCAATATCTTGGACCATTCATGCATTCTATCCTTCATAATCTCTTCCATTACATCATCATCAAGCTCATAGTCACTATCAGGCATTTCTTTACTTCCATTTGCCTCCACTTCTTTCGTTTCCTCAACACCTCCCGGGTTGCCATCTCCATCTCTACTGTCAACTTTTCTCTTTCCCTTTGCTTTTTCCGTTCTGTATTCTTCATCTTGATTGACACCATTGGCTTTAGTCTTCTCCTTTACTTTGCATCATTTGTATGATTTGTCAGTCCAATGTTCAGTACCACAACATTTCATATTCTTTATTTTTCTCTTCAAATTTCGTTTTTCCACCATCTTATCACACATGTCATCTTTTCTTTTGCCTTTCATACTTCCAGATTTGTTCACTGTGTCATAAGCTAACTGACCATCCTTGTCACAATGTTGTGCATCATCACCAATAGTGGCATTGCCTTCATCAACTTCAACATGTTCTGCCCTAGCACCTGATTTCTCACAAGGCTGTGCTTGATCACCATTGTCGACATTTACTTCCCCACCTTCACCATCAGTTGGTTCATCCAAATCACTGTAACCAATTATATGATCTACACCACATCTTGGAATTATTTTCAAAATTTCTATCTCTGGAGGTTCATCACTATCATCTACATCAACCAACGAAAAAATATTACTTCTCACCTTTTCTTTCGCCTTCGATCGTGGATTTATAGCTCCTCTCTTCAACATTTCCCTTTCTAGAATCACAAGATCTTTTATTTTTGAAAACTTAACAGCTGCCACCTTCATCCTTGCAGGTATCCTAGGTGAGAGACTATTCTTATGAGTAGATTCCATCTTCTGAGGTGTTGTTGATATTTGTTCTTGTGTAAGCTGACTGATAGGAATTTCAAGGACAGCATCCTCACCTGCATCACTATGAACAACAAACAGATACACTAAAGTTTCTTTCAAACCAAGTGCCGCCATTTTATTCATAGAGTCGTTACAAAATAAAAGAAACAACCCATCATCCATGCCCTTCCCAGGTTGTAGGTAGTAGTAACTTAATTTCGCAGCAACAAGACCCAACTTCGTCACAGCAAAATCGTCCACTTCTATTTTGGACCAGTAGTCTGGATCACATTTGTAAATGGCAGACACTTCTCCACCTTTGTACTGCCGCCTTGGTGGATTCGTGAGAAACCCATTAAAGTGAATCCTCACTGTAAATAGACCATCTGCGGAAACCGATGAATTCGTAAGAAACAATTCCATCAATAACAAATTGCCCAGTAACCCTAATTATCAAACCATTTTAGTCCTCTACAAATAGTACTACTAACCCTAATTTTAATACTATTTTGGTCCTTTACAAATACAACCAGCAACCCTAATTTTTAAATTATTTAGTCCTTTACAATTAGTCACCATAACCCTAATTTAGTAACTTTTTTAATCCTTTACAAATAGCGGCTCTAACCCTAATTTAGTTGACTATTTTAGTCCTTGGCATTTGTATTACAACAGAAATACTATACACACACCATTGACGCACATGACCAGTACTATAATCGCCACACGTGCTCGTAGATCCAACACAATCAACCCTTTTTTCAGACAATGGAGCCAGATTCAGTCATACCCATTTCAAAAATCACTGGTTTCGACCGACAACGACTAAAAAGGAAAAAAAGATAGAACCTTTTTCCCTTGAAAATCAGTAAGCAATAGTCCCCCACATGACTCGAACAGCATAAAGACAACACCAAATAATTTATCTCCCCCACAAATTGCATATCTACAGAACAAGTTATTATTAAACGATATCTCACCAGTGCGATTCTTCTCAGGCTTGATACTTGCAATATTTTTCTTCGTTCGCAATAGTCGGAGCGTAGCAGATTCCGTCGATTCGCCCACAGTAGATTTCGTCGATTCGCCCATCGATTTAATTCACCGCAGCAGAACTCTTCGAAGCAGATCCTTCAAAGCTTTAGCGCATGTTTTATTTCTTTTGGTTGGATTGCGATGTCTCCGGCGGAGACGACGATGGTGTGCAGGAGTTCACCGTTTTTGAAATGGGAATTTTGACCGAAGAGAGAAGGAAAAAATACTACTGAATAAAGATTCAAGGGTAAAGAAAAAAATTGGTGTGGGTCCCATAAGATAAAAAGTCAAATCGGGTAAAAAAAATTTTAATGGGGCCCACGGGTAAAAACTAAAAATTCATATTTTGGATTTTTAAATTTTTTAATAATATTATATTTGAATTTTGAATTTTGAATTTTGAATTTTAAATAATAAATTATAAATTAATATAATATATTTATTATTATTTTAATACATTTTTTATTTTTAATATATTTTAAAAATATTATTATGTTACCGAAAATGCCCTTGTTGACTTGACCAGGAATTGGTCAGCCCGAGAACTCACAAATGTAAAGGGTCAAAAAAGGTAAAAAGGACCAAATTAGTTTAAATGAAAAATGTAAAGGACCATGTGAGTGAGTTTTTAATGTAAAGGACCAAATTAATTTTTTGGGCAAATGTAAGGGACCTTTTGAGCATACTCTAGTCTATAAATGTGATCTAGTAATTAGCCTTTACATTCAAAGCCTTTCTGATTCAGAAACATGGATCTTGTTTCCTTACCTCTGTTTCTTACCATCTTTTTCATTATTATGCTCCTAACATTGGGAGCAAACTTCAGAAAAAAGAAATCTCAAACACCCAAACTTCCACCGGGACCATGGAAACTACCTCTAATTGGAAACTTGCATCAACTTGTTGGCCGTGTACCTCACCGTGTCCTAACCGACATGGCGAGAAAATACGGACCAATTATGCACATTCAATTAGGCGAAGTTTCCACAGTTGTCGTCTCCTCGCCGGAGATGGCAAAAGAAGTGATGAAAACTCATGACATCAACTTCGCGACGAGGCCTCCGATAATGGCAACGGAGATAATGGCTTACAATACATCCAATATAACTTTTGCTCCCTACGGGGACTACTGGAGACGATTGCGCAAAATGTGTGCATCGGAGCTTTTAAGTCAGAGTCGGGTACAGTCATTTCGACATTTACGGGAGGAAGAAACTTCAAATTTGATAAGATGGATCGCTAGTAATGAAGGATCGGTGATTAATCTTACTGAGAAGATTAATTCATCCACTTATGCATCCGCTTCCAGGGCAGCTTTTGGCAACAAAAGCCCCAAACTAGAGACATTCATACACACCGTCCTCGAATTTACGAAATTGGCATCAGGATTCAATATTGGTGATGCGTACCCTTCTATCAAGTTCCTTCATGTGATCAGTGGGATGAAGTCTAAGCTGATGAAACATCTTAAGGTAACAGACAGCATACTTCATGCCATCTTAAACGAGCACAAGGTTTCAGGCCTCTTTGCCAAGACTGAAAATCCTGATCAAGCCCACAAAGATTTCGTGGATGTTTTGTTGCAGTATCATGAGGACGAGAACGCTGAATTTTCCATGACTAACGACAACATCAAAGCGGTTCTTCTGGTAAGTACTAGGACCATAGTTACTTTATCAACATTTATTGAATCTATGCAAGATTTGTGTTATAATTTATACTCCTTTGGTCCCGAAAAGGGTGTCTCTAATTTGGATTTTCATCAGAGTTCAAATTGTACTAAAGTGAAAATATAAACAGGATAATAATTTTGAAATATAGGCAATACATTAATTTTGTCCCACGACGGTAATCCCCTAAGTAGTAATGACTGAGACGTTGCAACTTTGAACCTGTCTAATCAAAGCTGATCAAATCATTGCTGAGTAACTGAACATTTTTGTTGAATATAACTTCAGGATGCTTTTATAGCTGGAGGTGGTACATCAGCCAAGACTTTAAACTGGGCAATGACCGAACTGGTAAGGAATCCAAGAATCATGGAGAAGGCGCGTAATGAAGTAAGAGAAGTTTTCAAGAATAAAGGGCGGGTAGATGAAACCTGTTTTGATCAACTCAAGTACTTGAAATTAGTCATAAAGGAGACATTAAGGTTACATCCACCAGGACCTCTATTGCTTCCTAGGATAAGCAATGAGAAATGCATAATCAATGGATATGAAATTCCAGCAAAAACAAAACTCCTCGTCAATGCATTTGCCATCAATAGGCATCCCTCATACTGGGAAGATGCTGAAACATTTTACCCGGAGAGATTTCTTGGTAGCCCGATAAATTATAAGGGAAAACATTTTGAATATATCCCATTTGGAGCTGGGAGAAGAATGTGTCCTGGAATTCTACTTGGTCTGGTAAATGTTGAGCACTTACTCGCGAAATTTCTTTATCATGTTGACTGGAAGTTACCCAATGGAATGAAACCCGAAGACATGGATATGACTGAAGATTTTGGGCTCGCATTGACCAGGAAAGATGATCTCTATTTGATTCCGATGGTCAAAAACCCTCCTCCGGTTTGAATGATTGTGTACAATAATAAATAGCTTCTACTCCCAAATTAGCTTTTACTTTCCAAACTAAAAAATCCTTGTGATTTGTCCTCGAAATAACTCAGTTTTTTTTTTTTGTCATTACAAAACACGAAATTCAATCTTCGTAGCTATTTTTACTATAATGTCATGATCTACGATTTCCACCGGATGATTGATCATTCTGTAACTGATTAATGAATTCAGTATTTGTAATTCCGTATTAACCATTATGAATTAAGCACTAATTTTTATAAACAAACCCTTAGTCTTTGTTATCAAATATACTGGAATCAAAAAGCATTTAATGAAATAATTTTTTTGTAATAAGTGGTGTTATCAAACATACCCTTTGTGATTTAAGGTAGGCATACCAGAGGTTCTAGTTCGAACCGGAATCGAACTGGAAAATCAGATTCTTGTTCTTGAACCGCCTTTAAAGGTTTTAAAACCGTAACCTAACCTTGTATTGATGGTTCGTTTAAGGTTCTGGTATTTTTGAAACAGTAAATCGGCAGTTCTAAACCGTAAAAATCAACAATTCAATAGCCGGCTATATTGGTATTTTTTATAACTTAAAAATATTATAAAATCTTCCAACATAATTATTTTATTGTTGTTTAAAAAATAAAAAAGTATAGCGGTGGTTCAATTACCTGTTAAACTATTGCATAGTTATTTTTTCAAATATGACACAAACTATCTTTTTTTTTTGATAAATAATGTTTGTAAGGATGATTTGTTGATTTCAGTAACTTTTACGCACCATATATTATTATTAGTTTTTATGTTATAGTTAAATTTGTGGTATACATGCCAAGTATTGTCCTACTTTTTCAAATATTAAAAAAAAAATTTACTCCACATTTCATCTTACTTTGCAAGAAAAGAAAAAGTAAAATATTCATTTAACAAAAAAAAAAATATATTGTGACCAAAACTGCTACAACATAGAATCAAAACCAGAACCATCACAGAACCGGAACCAAACTGGAACCGACTATTCTCGAACCATAATCAGAACCGTACTATAAAGGGGCGTTTCCGGTTCTTATTTTTATCAAACCAGAACTGCCGGTTCTAGAACCGCAACCGACAGTTCCAGAACCGTGGGCATGCCTATTTTAAGGTAAATAGGAAAAACTATTTAGGGAATAAAACAATTGATAGAAAATCTCACTAAAAAGAATCGGTTAACGGCTTGTAGCCCATATTGCAAATATGCTCAGTCAGGTGGCCAAATTAATTAGTAAACCGACGCCTTTATCATAAGCAAGGTCCTAATTAATCAGAATTAGGTGATAATTAAATTCTATTTGCACATATATAACCTTGTGTTCCTTAGAGGTCTTGACTATAGACAACTTGAGGGCTCAATCAAACCAAGGGAATTTCCACCAGCATTGGCACACTGCGATTTCGCTTGTTGATTTTTGTAGTTCAGTTTCACGTCCTCTAGTGTTATTCCTTTACATGGATTCTTCTTGCTGCAATCAAATTTAACTGCCACTTCTGTAGCTGATGTTCCATGAATATCTTGATACAGAACGTCATTTATTTGTACTCCCGAAACCTGTACAATTAGATATATTTGGTATAAGAACAAAAGATATCATCACTCTTATTTCTGGTAGCGTTCTTGACATTACCAGAAAGAAAATATATGTCATTAACCAAACGAAATACTCCGTCTGATCCAAAATTACAATTCAGTTTGCATTTTTATTTTTAGTACAAAGTGAAGTAAAAGTGAAAATCTAATTTGGAGAGTAATTTTGGAGCTTCTAAAGTATAAATTAGTTAAACATGATTAATTTTTACCTCTCCAGGGCAGTTGATGTGATCGGGGCAGTAATTTTGGTCAATGACAATAGGGTTTTGGACATTGATCATTGTGGCATGTTGGAACACAACATGATTCACAAATCCTTTACTTGGTCTTCCCCATGATTTAATCCTCACACCATTTTGCGTGTTTATGAATGTGACCCTTTTAACTGTCACATTTTGTACACCTTCTTCTTCGAAATCTCTTCCTAGACTCCCAATGCTGCACGGTTTAAATGAACAATAAGGCATTCAGGAGATTATAAATATTGGACAAGCTGTAAATGTATACATCCTGAGTTCATACAATTGCTTTATTATTAATTACCTGATGCCATGGCCAGGACCACAAATGACGTCTTCAATCGACAAATTGCTTGTTCCAGGGCCAATGGAAATGCAATCATCTCCCGTACTGATTTTAGAGTTCAAGATCTTAACTCCGGTCGAGAATTGGAGATGAATACCGTCGGTGTTGGGGCTGTTTCCGGCGGCCGTGACTTTCACTCCTTGCACCTTCACGTTGGTGCATCCATTGAAGACGATGTGAAATAGTTGGCTATTAAGAGAAGTTAGCCCATATATTTTAATGTTGTTTGAGTTGGTAAACCCCAATGTCTGCACATAACCATTTACTTTGATTAGTCATTTGAGCCATACAATTTTAATGAGAAAAATATTAATCATTCATTCGAAATTTTGACCACCTAACTGAACATCTGGTGAAATAATTATTATTTTTTTTTTACATTTCTGTATGGAGTAGCAAAAGCCCTAATTTACTGCCCTTTACGATTACACATAACTAAAAGTAAACTTGGAGAGGTGAAAAGGTAACTGAAAAGCCAGAAAAAAGAAACCACCCATTTCCCCCCACTAACTTCAAGAGTTATGCTCTTAATTAACATGTGCAAAACTCCAAAAGCTTAAAAAGAAACTAACATTTCTAGTGTAACCGTTAATAATCTTGTTTTAGTGGCTCCACTCGTGGTGGTGTAAAGTGGCAGAATCAACCTAAATGTCACAAGGAAAAACATGAATCTCTAAGAATGAGGAGGAGAACTAATTACTTACTGAAACGCCGGTCGGACAACTCTTGCCGGAGGCAGCTTTGCAAGCCCAGAGACCAGTCCCCTTGCCATCAAGAAAGCCGCCACGAATCGAAAGTCCATCGACACTCTTGAATTCAATCCAAAACATAGTACTCCCTAGAACATTATAATCAGAAGGAGCAATAATAGAGCCATCAATCCTCATGGTTATAACTTTGTTCCTGCATGGTCCGGAAAGTTCAGCCTGTTGATTCACCAAAAACCTTCCCTTTGGCACATAAATGGAGGCCGGTTTGGAAGAGTTACAAGCGGCAGTCCATGCGCTCGTTAAAGCTGCCGTCGAATCGGTTTTTCCGTCTGGTTTCGCTCCCAAAGACATGACATTGATATATGTAATTTTGCTCTCAACAGCGATGGATAATATTGCTGATTGATTGGCGAACAAGAAAAGAAATGTGAAGAGAAAAAGCTTGGTGCGCTGCTCCATTTTTACCTTAATTTGAAAGAATATGTATGTATTATTTGCTTAAATATTTAGTTGAGTTTAATAGATTTCGGTGGAGAAATGAAGCAGTTGGATGGGTATATATAGTTGAAGTTTGGTTAGCAAATTTAAAGATGAGACGTGGGGAATGTTAGGAGCCAATTTGAACCAAAAGTAAGCAAAACCTCGCCGAAACTCTGTACTATTATGTTAAGTTGATTACTTCAGACATAAAATTTGTGTAATTTATGGTTGAAGTGCATGAATGTTTCGATATATTCATGACCCGCGTAATTTTGTTAGGCATTATCCACCAAAAAGAAAAAGTCAAATTAGTTTATATCCGATCAAGTAATTTACAATCCACTAATTAAACAATGTTATAATCAGATGAAGCCACATTGACATTCTTTAATCTTAAGCTAGGTAGCCTTTTTTGTAGAAATCTTCGGTGAATCGGAATTATTATCCAATCCGTGAACGCGCATTAGCCAACAAAGTAGAAACTACGGAATTGACAATAAAGCGTTTCTGATTCATTTTTTGGCTGCTATTAATTCCTTCATTTTGTGATAAACTCAATCCAAATTAAATTATTTCCGTACAATCACTTAAACGTCTGACGATAAGAGAGAGAATATTACTACTTGCTACTAACCCCGAAAAATTTTGTTTCTCTACTTTAACTTCTGTCTCAAGTTGAACGGATACATCGAATCCTACAAGGTAAAAATTATGATGTGCTCAATATAGGCCGAAATTTGAAGCAATTGGATTAATTATATGATGTAATGATTTTTCGTTCATCTGGCTTGAGTTTTCTTTCTTACAAACCAACTTTTATTTCCAACGTTTGAGGCGGGCTTCCCAAGATGGATGAAATATGGTTTAAGTTGTTGAATTTTCCATTTGGGTTTGGACCAGGTGAACTCAGGAGGTAAGCAGACTGAGCCCATAAGTATACCAGACTAAAATTTTGAAATTTTAATTTTAAAAGAAACTCAATGCTGTAACATTTTCTTTGAATATACCAGTCTAAAATTTTCTTTGGTAAACAAGGATTTTTGTAAGTTTTGAAGTTAGGACATCCCTCTTTTTTTTTTTTTTTTGAATTTGGGACATTTCTTGGATCTTTATCTTTTCAATTATTTTATTTAATATTTATTTCAGAGCAACCAAGTAGTAAGCGGAAAATACAGAGACCAACCAACTTAAGGGTTAATTATACTCATCAAATCTCTTGTTTTATGACCCTTGACTAATAAGAATCAACTCGCGAGCTCAATCGAAGAAAAGCGATGACGCTTAATCATTAGGACGCTTATGAAAAGAGACTGCAAGTACTCAGAAATGAAATAAGTTTGCCATTTCTTCAGAATATGGCTTTTCAATTGGCAATAATTGGCAGACTCTAACAACTAATTGTAAAAACTATTTACGTGCATAGATGGTTACATTTTGTTTCGAGGCAATTTTTTCTTCCCTAGTTCCCCATCCCTATCCAAAGTTGCTGTAGTAGTACCTTTTGACAAAAGACTTGAGCTACAAAGCGAGACTATGTAAAGATGCATCACAATCTTCTCGGTTATACATCTGACCTAATTAATTATTTACAAATGTACATGTGTACTAAAAATCTAACCATAAAAGAGACGTTTTGGGTGGGTCTGTCTACGAGCCGTTTAAAAAAGAAATTAAACAATAATTATATCTTCAACTTTTTTCGTGATTTCATTTCATATGAAGTCATTTTTATATATTACTCCCTCTCCAAAAAATGAAATAAAATAGTCCACATTAAATTTTGAATTTTGTAATATTTTTAATATAAGTTTTAAAATTTAACGTAAACTATTTTTTTGGACAGAGGTAATACAAAAATTCTGATAGTTACATTATTTTGCATCATGACATTAAAATTTCTTCACCATTTGAGCTAAATAATCAAGCACCCATGCATGAAGGACTTGATTATGATCCTCATCATATCTAAAAGTATACTAATCTACACTTTTTTGTTTCTTTTTTCAAGCTTGACCTTTAAACCATGTTCCATTTGTATGATTACTGAGTCGCTAGGGTTGACAGGATGATCTTCGACAAGATGGACTTTGAAATTATGGATGATAGAAGCTGCAGCAACCTTCATCATCACGAAAGCAATCTCCTTCCCCAAACAAGTCCTTGGTCCGGCATTAAACGCCGGAAATTTGAACGATGGTTCGTGTCGAATCCCTTCCTGCTTCGTTACCCATCTCTCCGGCTTAAACTCTAAGCAATCTTTTCCCCATATGGACTCCAATCTTCCCGTGGAGTAGAAGAACAAGATCAATTTCGTGTTGGCATTAATAAAATGACCACTGGGAAGAACATCATCATTTATAGGCTCCTTGTGTTCAAGCGCAACTGGTGGAAAAAGCCGAAGAGCTTCGCACAATGCGCCGTGGAGGTAGACAAGTTTTTGGGACTCGAATAAGTTGCATATTGGTTGATGATTCGGGTCATTTTGAAGACACAATTTGGCTTTGACTTCCTTGAGAATATTGTCTTCCACAGAAGGATTTTTCGATAGGAGGAAGAAAAACCAAGCGAGGGCCGTACTAACTGTATCTCTTCCCGCGACCATTAAGCTCAAAAAAGCGTCCCTGAGGAACAGCTTTGTGACTTCTGGACGATTGATATTTTTTGAACTCGAACTCGAACAAGTTGATTTGTAAGCCTGAATGAAAGCATTTAAGCCGTTTTCGAATTGCTTTGAAGTTGAAGTGGAACTAGTAAGAAGTGTCAATTTCTTTTCAAGGCAAGGGTAAATGAACTGATCAAGGTCGTCCCAAGCTTCCCTTAGCTTCTTTTCTTTCCCAAAATCAAGCCATTTTTGGAGCTTCCAGCAGCTCTCAGGCAAGATGTGCCTCTGAAAAATGGCTTTCTCGGCGTCGAGAAATGCGTATTGGGCTCGAATGTGTGGTAACTCCAAGGACAAGCTTTCTGGATCATAGTCAAGAAGCAATCTGGAGAAGCAATCGAAAGTAAATCTCTGAAGTATGTCCTGCAAATCAAACTCGGCGCCCTGGCTCCAGAAACTCTCCAGGACTGGAAGTAGCCCGTTCGCCACTTTCTCCAGCACAGTCTCCTGAAAGACTTTCTGGTAATCAGGCTGATGAAATATTGATAAAGTAACTTTCCTGTGGATTTCCCACAGCTCATAATCTGCATTGAAGATGCCATCCCCCAAGACATCGAACATTTTCCGGAATTCAGGACCCTTTGGATAGTTTGGGAAGTTTTTGCTGAAGATGTAATGGATGTTAGCAGGATCACAAGTCACAACAAAGTCAACATTGGTAAACCAGGGCCCTTTGAACTCAAAAGTTCCCCCACTTTCAATAAGGACTTGAGTCCCATAATCATGAATTCGGTGAGCATTCTGAATAATTGCTGGTAGCATCCCAAGTAGAGGCCAATTTGTGGGTATTGAGCTGTTCTTTTTCGCATTTCTGTTATACCAAGAATATTGATAGTAAAACCATGAACACAAAACAAAGGAGATGATCAGAATGGAAGGAGTTGGAAGAGACTGAAGATATGACTGAATATCCATGATTAGCTGTTGGACAGAACTGATGATTTCTTATCTTAGGTACAAGACGTTTTATAAGGAAAAATATGGACAATATTTTTGCATGTCATTTTCTGCTTGCTGCTGCATTTGTACCACGGTTCTTAATTAGGACCGGTTAGACCTTTTGTTGCCTAACCATCTTCATTTAATTTCAATACTCTCTCTATCCCAAAATTATGGTCTAAATTAAAATTTTATTTTCAATACAATTTAAACTAAAAATTATAAAATTTAAATCGAACAATAATTTTGAAACGGAGAGAATAAATTGTTTTTCTGCTTACTCAATCCCTACGAAATAAGCAACAGCAGACATCTCACATCTATACGGATATCGATTTAATGGAAGATTATGTAACAATTTTGGTATCAAATAATGGTGTAGGATCTACAAATTGATGACAAACCTTCTCGATAAGTGACATCTCCGCATACGGGGTAAATATAACATCACCCTGATGTAATTAGAGTTGTATGCCCCGTAAAACTAAAATTGAAAAACAATAATAGCAGTTGGAACAACATTACAAAGAAGAGAAGGTAATCGTAAAATGATAAACGTGAAAATCATTTTAGATTCATGACTATAAATTATATAATTTTGGATTTATGAGTTTGAGCCCCTCTCTCGTCACTTTCAAACAATCTTTTTCATCTGTGCATTATTTAAAACTTTTAACGTTGCGATCTCACCACAATTCGTCGGCAATTAATTGAAACTAGTTGGAAATTAAGAGACACGGACCCAACAACTTTAAATGAATTTCTTTTTCGTGACATAGTTGGACTTAAAACAAACGTACGAATAAGTTGATCATAGTGAATAAAAATTAAATGAAAGATCATTGGAAAAGATTGTAAGAACGGTATTAAATACAGAAAACAAAGGGTGTTGGAGTTTTAAAATCTGTCCCAAATCGTGGTTGACGACTTCTAATTTAAGATATTAGAATTGTAGAAAATAGAGGGCTAAGAAGCAAAATGATGGTACAACATTCACGGAGCAACGAAAACCTACCTCGTGATGATAAGACCAATTTCATGTACCCAATACCGATAATGCAAATTTACATAGAGAAACAACAAAAGAGATTGTACCAAATTTAGATAGAGACAAAACAAAATGATCGTCATAAGACAAGTTTTATTTGCAGTGAATTGGTCAGAAAAGAAGGTAAACATCTTATCCTAGTTCACAATGACATGCCTAAGAATACCTATGTTATCTTTCTATTGGAGATTTATCCAGAGGATAAAACCCGACATATAGCCCAATAAGTAAGATAATACTCATCTGAACTCAAAAGCTCAACCTAATGGGTTCTAGTCCACCTTACTTATTAACTGATTTACATGTCATCATGCCTCCGATGTGGGATTCACAATTCTTGCCACATGACCCTTAACATTCTCCCCTGTCATAGGTAATCTCCACACCGGACTTCTAAATTAGCTTAACAAGCCCAAATCTGTACTCCACCTGAGTAACTGGGCTGTCCATCCCTATGTTTCCGCACGTAGTGGGCTTTTGACTGCCTGGGTTCAGTCAGATCAATCGAAATAATTTGGGCTAAATCACCCACCTAATTGGCCCAACCTGGGCTCTGATACCACTGTTGGGGATTTATCCATAGAAAAAACCCGACATGTAGCCCAATAAGTAAGATAAGACTCATCTGAACTCAAAAACTCAAGTTAATGGGTTTTGAGTCCACCTTACTTATTAACTGATTCACATATCATCATACCTCCGATGTGAGATTAACAATTCTTGCCACATGACCCTCAACACTTTCGAGTACAAGTGACGAACACCAATCTTGATGAAGTATTTAGTAGGAAATTTGAGAAAAATATTGCGTGTTTGGACGTCATCTTACATTTCATTTTGCCACTTAAAAGTGGAAAGTGTTTGAAGTTGAAAACTAAATGGGAAATGAAAATGTTATTTGGATGGTATTTTGAGTAAAAAGTTGTTTGTATGTTGGTTTTGAAAAAAATATTTTGAACTACATTTTGAAAATATCAAGTACGAGTCATCACTAAACAATTAAATATTGTCAATTATAGTTACTGCAAAAAAGAACTTTTTCAAAAACAATCACTCAACAACGGAATCCTACCAAATTTGTCATGAACTATTTATAGTTCTAAAATGGTCATTAAACTAACAAAAAGTATTTCAAGTTGGAGTTTAAAATGTAAATCAGAAAGTTGTTTGGATGATGTTTTCTTTTCTATTAGATTTTGTGTTTAAGAGGTAAAATGAGTGAAGAGGTAAAATGAGTGCTTGTCCAAACAAACACATCATTTACTTTCTATGTGATTTAGTTTTCTCATTGACGAGAGTGAAATTTTTTTTTGGAGGTTTACCAATGTTGATAGCACCTTGCTAAGAAGTTATAGTACTCCCTCGGCCTCAAAATTATTGTCCAATTTGAGATTTTACCTTTAATATAATTTGAACTAGAAATGAAAACTCAAACTGGACGATAATTATGGGACGGGGAGTACATTTTCAAGATTGGTCATCTCGAAAACACCAAATTTAAGGGGAAGCACCTCATCCGCACCCAATACGCGCCCAATGTTCAAAGCTTCTTTTTCATAGACTCAAATAATCCAATTCATGAAATATACGTACTCTTTATCACGTCTCATTCGAAGAAGGTAAGAATATATATTATGAACAATTTCTTTGAGATATTTAGTAATTTTACTTATTTTATTTATAGAAAAAAGAAAGATTAAATTTAAAAAAATTTAACAGCCATTAAATTATGCCTAGATCCTCAATAAAGTAGTTATATTAAAGCCCGTGAGAAGCAATAATGAAGCGGGCGAAGGGGTTGTACGTTTGGAGGTATTGATTTAGCCCCACTTTGGTCCTAGAAAAATTACTTCGAAAAGATGTGAATCTGCTCATCTATGGGACCTAAACTAATTAATTTGTGATTTTATTTAATTTCTTAATACATATAAAAACAAGAACATTGAAGAAATTGCTTATTAGGTGTGGATTTCATATTGGCAAGCGTGGACTTGGGAAGAACCACAAACTTGAAGTGAAATCCAATCATTGGAAAGTTGTTCACGTTTAGTTCGCCAAAAAAAAAAAAAAAAACTAATATATGTAGGAATGCCTAATCATTGAGACATCTCACAATAAACACAGAAAGTACAATATAATTGAAGGAGAAATTATAAGTGACTCGCGCCTGGAGCCTGATCAAACAGGCGAGTGACTTGTATATGATGCCCACGAAAAATCAAGCACACCGAATAGGAAATTTGGCTCTAGCTGAACCCCATCCCCATTGTCAGTGGTGGCTCTTCCATAAAGCAAGTGAGACAATTGTTTTAGGCCCCAAGTTGAGAAGGGCCTCCTAAATTATTAATAATAGTTAACAATATTATATGTATACCCTTCAAAAAAATTATATTATATACATGTATAAATAGAAAAAAAATCAAAAGAAAATAATACTTTCTTTCGAAAGAAAAATAAAAATTTTCATTTCTATTTCCAACTCCACATATTTAAATATGGGCAAATGCAAATATCAATCTTCATCCAACAAGCAACTCTTAATTTTTCAAACCACGAAATCAATAAAATGACTCTTTTCTAGAAAGTATGAAAGTTATCAAATAGATTAGGAAGTTTCATCAAAGGATTTGCCCAAAAAATAAAAAATTAACTTTGTATAGAAAATTTTGAAAGAGAAAAAAGTTTAAAAGATAAACTTAATCTTTTTTAAGAAAAAAAAAATCCCCTTATTATAATTCTTGCTATATAGCAACTTTTCTCTTAATCATAACTAAACGAAGGTCTAGTTTTTTTTAGTTCTTTATTTTCAAAAGGCCCCAACAAGAAAATTCGCTTTAGGCCCCTTGAAATGTTGAGTCGTCCTTGCCCATTGTAATAGTTTAATTAGTACTCTCTCGGACCAGTATTTTGATTTTTCTAAGGTTTCACCTAGTATTTATTTTTAATTGACCAAAAAATCTTAAAAATATATTTTCATATTTGTTCTATTCTCTTGATTATTAGAAAATATTTTAAAGGCTTTTTAGTCAATTAAAAATGTGTATAAAGTAAAACCTATAATAAATCAAAATGTCTTCTATAAAGGACCGGAGGGAGTATATCGCAAGTACTAATAGATGTTTGGTTAAAATAAATAATGTATATGTGTGAAAATAAATTACTTAATCTGTTCTTAAAAAAAATCAACATCGAATATTGAGATTTTTATTATACTGAAAAATCTCAATGTGAACTAAATGTAAATTATATATTTAGATTCTACCATTCTATGCTTAGAATTTATTTGATTTATAACGTGCAATTAAACCCATCAAATGATGAACAAAATACGTCACTGTAATTTTTTGTGGATACATTACAAAAGAAATATTTTTTGAAGGGGAATTCTTTGATAAATTTAAATGTGAGCCGTCAGCCAGTTGTTTGAATGAAATCACAGATGTATAGATTTACTAAACACCGTAAAGTTTAATTCATTGAAGGTTAGGAATATAGGTTTTACATCTTGATAGTTATGATTTTTTTCCTTTGATAAGCTAAACTAAATGTATCTTTGAGTAAGTAATTCCAGCGATCTGATTGGGTTGACGATCTTCCCCACATCAGCGCTTCATAATTAACATCACAAAAGTTTTTTTTATTTTTCCTCCATCCCAAAAAATAATTTACATGAATTTTCAAATTTTTATTAAAATTAAAAAATACTCAAAACTCAATACGAACTATTTTTTTTTTTTGGGATAGAAGTAGTATAATATAATGGTTTAGAAAGTGTTTTAGAATTATACAGTGCGAGAAGATATTCTTAGCGGATGTTATAAGTTATAACCGTGATATTGAATAATGTAACATTGATTGAATAATGATTTCTGATTGCCATTTGCAAATACGACACGTTTCCAGGAATAATAAATACTGTACATTAGAC